TCCAGCTCTTTGTCCTCTACACTACTGTCTCCTGGTTTTGTTTTGTTTGTTTGTTTGTTTGTTTGTGTCAGGAGTGACTTGAGAAACTGCAAGTTGCTTCTGGTGTCTCCTGGTACTGCAACATCTATATAAATAAAAATATAATGTTAGTTTTTTTGGGATTAACATAACTCAAAAACCACTGGACAAATTGCCGCCAAATTTGGCCACAAGACACCTACTAACCACAAGATACCTACTAACTCTTTGATCGTAGATCGTAGGTGAACTATAAATCCCAAGAACTACAAACTCCCAAATGACAAAATCAAAAAATTTGGAGTGATGGACATACATTGGGTTGTTAGGTGTACGCTGTCCAAATTTGATGTCAATTTGCCCACTGGTTTTTGAGTTCTGTTAATCCCACAAATGAACATTACATTTTTATTGATATAGATTGTTTGTTTTCAGCTATGGTTTTATGTTCTATGCATTTTTAGGATGTTGCGAGCTGCCTTGAGCCTGCTCCCGAGGAAAGAGGCATAGAAATCGCCAAAATAAATAAATAAACACCCTTCATCCCTTTTCTCCCCCTCCCTCCCTTCTTTCCCTTTTTCTTCTTCCTCCCTCCTTCTCCTCTTCCCATTCCTCCCATCTCCCCCCTCCCTTCCTTCCTTCTCTTCTCCTTTCTCCCCCTCCCTCTCTCCTCTCTTCCCGCACATCAGCGCATCATCTTCTGCGCAGGCAGAAGCCTCTTCCCTGCCACTCCTTCTGTTAAAGCAGGCCTTCCTTTAAATATATTCCTGGCCTTGTTTCCCCATTGACACCAAAAACGAGGAGTTTGCAGAAGCAAAACCCGCGGTGGCTTCTGTGAATGCCAGAAAGTCTTCCTGATCATGTGCAGGATACTCATAGGTGAAGTCATAGTTTTTCAGCTTGCAACTTGCTTATCTTTTTGGCTGCATCTGCAGGCCTCGTGCTAAGGAAACCTTTACATTCCATCATCTCTTCTCCTAACCAAATCTCCCCCCACACACACACACACACGTCGTCATCATCTTCATTTTCCTCTGTCTTTAAAAACGTCTTTCAATCTTACATTCAACGTCTATTTTTAAACTTTTTGCAAAGTTGGTGTGATGATGTAAAGGTTGTTGTCTCTATAGAACGTCACTATGAAACGCCCTCAGTCCGTTTCGGGGTTGAAAAGGGTAGTATACAAATAAAATAAAATAAATAGGTTATTGTAAGTTTTCTGGGCTGTATGGCCATGTTCCCGAACAACGGGCAGCAGTCAGGTTACTAACCGGTACTTCTTGCAGGGAGCGGTCAACCCTCCTGTTTAAGGAGCTCCATTGGCTGCCGCTCATTTTCCGGTCCCAATTCAAGGTGCAGGTTCTTACCTACAAAGCCCTGAATGGTTTAGGACCTGCCTACCTGCGTGACCGCATTTCTGTGTACGAACCGACACAATCTCTTCGATCATCTGGAGAGGCCCTGCTCACACTTCCACCTCCTTCGCAGGCGCGATTGGTGGGGATGAGGGAGAGGGCCTTCTCAGTGGTGGCCCCTCGACTCTGGAATTCACTCCCTAAGGACATCAGACATGCCTCAACGCTGGCAGTCTTTAGGAGGAGCCTGAAAACGTGATTGTTCCAGTGTGCCTTCCCAGAATAAGGAAAACTCTTAACAATATGTCCTCAAATGCACTTTAATATTGACAGGATTGTTTGCGTGCCCTCATCTTTCTTCGAAAACCCTATCCTAGTTTACCCTACCTTGTTGCCAGCATTTTAAAATTTAATTTTAATTATTACAATTGGCCCAGCCATAGGTTTTTAAATGCTGTATGTTATTGTGTATTGCTTGTTGTGTATTTTTGTTTTTGAGTTTTTATTTTAACTGTTTTGTATTGATTATTTGTTATCGCTTTTGTTTATTGATGCGCTGTGGGCTTGGCCTCATATAAGCCGCACCGAGTCCCTTGGGGAGATGGTAGCGGGGTACAAATAAAGTTTTATTATTGTATTATTATTATTCTCTCCTGATGTTTCGCCTGCATCTATGGCAGGCATCCTCAGAGGTTATGAGGTCTGTTGGAAACTAAGAAAATGGGTTTTATTTATCTGTGGAATGTCCAGGGTAAGCAAATATGAATTTTGCAACTGGCCACCTTGATTAGCATTTAAAGGCCTAGCAGTTTCATGTTGTGGCTTCTTACTGCCTGTGGGAATCCTTTGTTGAGGTGATTAGCTGTTCCTGATTTTTCTTGTCTGGAGTTCCCCTGTTTTTGAGTGTTGTTCTTTATTTACTGTTACGATTTTAGAGGATTTTTAAAATACCGATAGCCAGATTTTGTTCATTTTCATGGTCTCCTCCTTTCTGTTGAAATTGTCCACATGCTTGTGGATTTCAATGGCTTCTCTGTGTAGTCTGACATGGTGGTTGTGAGAGTGGTCCAGCATTTCTGTGTTCTCAAATAATATGCTGTGTCCAGGTTGGTTCATCAGGTGCTCTGCTATGGCTGACTTCTCTGGTTGAAGTAGTCTGCAGTGCCTTTCATGTTCCTTGATTTGTGTTTGGGCAATGCTGCGTTTGGTGGTCCCTATGTAGACTTGCCCACAGCTGCATGGTACACGGTAGACTCCTGCAGAAGTGAGAGGATCCCTCTTGTCCTTTGCTGAACTTAGCATTGGTTGGATTTTCTTAGTGGGTCTGTCGATAGTTTGTAGGTTGTGTTTCCTCATGGTTCCCTTGATGTATGGGAAGAACACTTCTGGGTGGATCTTTATAAACAAAAAAACAAACAAACAGAATAATAATAATAATAATAATAATAATAATAATAATAATAACAATAACTTTATTTATACCCCACCACCATCTCCCCAAAGGGACTCGGGGCGGCTTACATGAGGCCAGGCCCAGCAATACAACAATGCAAATATACATATAATAATAATAATAATAATAATAATAATAATACTTTATTTATACCCCGCCGCCATCTCCCCAAGGGGACTCAGGGCGGCTTACATGAGGCTAAGCCCAACAACACATCAATAAAACAACAAAACGGTAAGCAAATAAAACAATACAATTAATATAACCCACAAATAGACAATAACACACAAAAATTTAAAAACCTATGGCTGGGCCAGATGTAATAGATTAAAAATTTAAAATAAACACTGGGCGTGAACAGAGGTAGGATGTATCTAAGCGGGAGGGTTTTAAAGGATAGTGTAGGGAGAGTAACCCAATGGGTAGTTAAAATGCTTCTGAGGACATTTTGCAGGGAATTGGTCAGAGCAGGGGATTGTTTCCTTTATTCAGGGAAGGCACACTGGAACAGCCACTTTTTCAGGCTCCTCCTAAAGACTGCCAATGTGGGGGCTTGTCTGATATCCTTGGGGAGTGAGTTAAAAAGTCAGGGGGCCACCACTGAGAAGGCCCTCTCCCTTGTCCCCACCAATCACGCCTGCGAAGGAGGTGGGCGCAAGAGCAGGATCTCTCCAGATGATCGAAGAGATCATGTGGGTTCGTACACAGAAATGCGGTCACACAAGTAGGCGGGTCCCAAACCCTTCAGGGATTTGTAGGTAAGAATCTGCACCTTGAATTGGGACCGGAAAATGAACGGCAGCCAGTGGAGCTCCTTAAACAGGGGGGTTGACCGCTCCTGTAAGTCGCTCCAGTTAGTAACCTGGCTGCCGCCCGTTGTACCAATTGAAAATTCTGAGTCGTCTTCAAGGGCAGCCCCACGTAGAGTGCATTACAGTAATCCAATCTGTAGGTGACTAAGGTGTGGACCACCATGGCCAGATCCGACTTCATGAGTGCTCATAATTTTAATTTTAATTTATAACAGCAAAACAACAGAGAGGAAACAACCAGGCACAGATTAACACCTCCCAGCAAGAGATTTTCCCAGGCTCAGGCAGGCCTTCAAATGCTAATGAAGGTGATCAGCTAAACATTCACACCTAACTGCAGCAGGGAAAAGGTCCTTGCCCCACCCCAGCCATTCCACAGATATAAACCCATTGTCCTATTTCCAACAGACCTCACTACCTCTGAGGATGCTTGCCATAGATGCAGGCGAAACGTCAGGAGAAATGCCTCTAGAACAGTGGTTCTCAACCTTCCTAATGCCACGACCCCTTACTATGCTTCCTCATATCGTGGTGACCCCCAACCATAAAATCAGTTTCACTGCTACTTCATAACTGTCATTTTGCTGCTGTTATGAATAGTAATGTAAATCTCTGATATGCAGAATGTATTTTCATACATTGGACAAAAATTGGCACAAATACCCAATACGCTCAAATTTGAATACTGGTGGGATTGGGGAGGGTATTGATTTTGTCCTGTGGGAGTTGTAGTTGCTGGGATTTATAGTTCACCTACAATCAAAGAGCATTCTGAACTCCACCAACGATGGAATTGAATCAAACTTGGCACACAGAACTCCCATGACCAACAGAAAATACTGGAAGGGTTTGGTGGGCACTGACCTTGAGTTTTAGGAGTTGTAGTCCACCTACATCCAGAGAGCACAGTAGACACAAACAATGATGGATCTGGACCAAACTTGGTATGAATTCTCCATATGCCCAAATGTAAACACTGGTGGAGTTTGGGGAAAATAGACCTTGACATTTGGGAGTTGTAGTTGCTGGGATTTATAGTTCACCGACAGTCAAAGAGCATTCTGAACCCTACCAACGATTGAATTGGGCCAAACTTCCCACATAGAACCTCCATAGCCAATAGAAAATACTGTGTTTTCTGGTGGTCTTTGGTGACCCCTCTGATACCCCCTTGCGACCCCTCCAGGGGTCCCGACCCCCAGGTTGAGAAACACTGCTCTAGAACATGGCTCTATAGCCCGAAAAAACCCACAAGAACCTATTATTATTATTTCTTCCCTTTATTTCCTTTCCTTCCTTCGCGCGCCCTGCAGGGGGCGCCCTCGACTGCGCTGCGTCCAATCCCCGCCCCGCGCTCCTCGCCGCTGCTTCTGCTGCTCCGCGGGGCCGAGGCGGGTCTGGCCGTTTTCCCTGCGCCTCCCTCCTTCCCTCCCAGCTTGCCTGCCTGCCTGCCTGCCTTCCTTCCAGACCTGCGTCCATCCATCCCTCCGTCCTCCGGAACCGAGGAGCCGGCCAGGTGGGTCCAGAGGGACCGGGGAAAAAGGTAACGCATTGGGGGAGAGCCTTTCTCCGGCTCCAAAGCAAGGGAGGAAGGAAGGGAGAAGGGGAAAGAGGTGGGCGCAGAAGCAGAGCAGCATCCTCCATTAGGCTTCACCCAAGCATCCCTTCCCAGCTAGCTTCCTTGCCCAGCAAAACCTGGCTAAACTTGCCCTGCAAGGAGACAAGAGGCCCAGAACAGCAGGATCAACTTGCAGAGGTCCAGCTAGCAAGCTGCTCTTGTTCTTATGGAAATAACAATCATATATTAGCATTGAAGATTGTGATTAGGTTTTATTAACAACAATACTATTCATATTGTTAATAAAGTTGATTCTTTATATTCTTAATATTATTATTAACATTAACATCCATATTATTAGTAGTGTTACTAATAATAACGTTGGTGATATTAGTATTCTTAATATTATTCTTACTATTTTAATATTATTCTTAATATCATTGACATTGTTATTATTAATATTAACATCAATATTTTAATAGTGTTGGTCGTAATGTTGGTGATATTAGTATCCTTAATATTATTAATAATATTCTTAATATTGTTACTAATTATTAAAATTATTATTAACATTAACATCCATATTATTAGTAGTGTTACTAACAATAATGTTGGCGATATTAGTATTCTTAATATTATTCTTAATATTCTTAATATTGTTACTAATTAAATATTGTTACTAATTAGCTATGCTAATCTATATAAATAAAAATGTAATGTTCGTTTGTGGGATTAAACAGAACTCAAAAACCATTGGACGAATTGACACCAAATTTGGACACAAGACACCTAACAACCCAATGTATGCCCTTCACTCAAAAAAATAGGTCGCAGGTTCGAATCCGGGGAGAGGTGGATGAGCTCCCTCTATCAGCTCCAGCTCCTCATGCGGGGACATGAGAGAAGCCTCCCACAAGGATGATAAAAACATCAAATCATCCAGGCATCCCCTGGGCAATGTCCTTGCAGACGGCCAATTCTCTCACACCAGAAGCGACTTGCAGTTTCTCAAGTCGCTCCTGACACGAAAAAAAAAAATTAAAACAATATGATTTTGTCATTTGGGAGTTGTTGTTGCTGGGATTTATAGTTCACCTACAATCAAAGAGCATTCTGAACCCCACCAACGATGGAATTGAACCAAACTTGGCACACAGGCTTCCCATGACCAACAGAAAATACTAGCAGTGTTTGGTGGGCATTGACCTTTAGTTTGGGAGTTGTAGTTCACCTACATCCAGAGAGTACTTTGGACTCAAACAATGATGGATATGGACCAAACTTGGCACGAATATTCCATATGCCCAAACATGAACACAGATGGAGTTTCGGGAAAATAGACCTTGGCATTTGGGAGTTGTAGTGGCTGGGATTTATAGTTCACCTACAATCAAAGAGCATTCTGAACCCCACCAACGATGGAATTGAACCAACCTTGGCACATAGTTCTCCCATGACCAAAAGAAAATACTGGAAGGGTTTCTTAATATTCTTAATATTGTTACTAATTAAATATTGTTACTAATTAGCTATGCTAATCTATATAAATAAAAATGTAATGTTCGTTTGTGGGATTAAACAGAACTCAAAAACCATTGGACGAATTGACACCAAATTTGGACACAAGACACCTAACAACCCAATGTATGCCCTTCACTCAAAAAAATAGGTCGCAGGTTCGAATCCGGGGAGAGGTGGATGAGCTCCCTCTATCAGCTCCAGCTCCTCATGCGGGACATGAGAGAAGCCTCCCACAAGGATGATAAAAACATCAAATCATCCAGGCATACCCCTGGGCAACTGTCCTTGCAGACGGCCAATTCTCTCACACCAGAAGCGACTTGCAATTTCTCAAGTTGCTCCTGACACGACAAAAAAAAAAGTTAAAAACAATATGATTTTGTCATTTGGGAGTTGTTGTTGCTGGGATTTATAGTTCACCTACAATCAAAGAGCATTCTGAACCCCACCAACGATGGAATTGAACCAAACTTGGCACACAGGCTTCCCATGACCAACAGAAAATACTAGCAGTGTTTGGTGGGCATTGACCTTTAGTTTGGGAGTTGTAGTTCACCTACATCCAGAGAGTACTTTGGACTCAAACAATGATGGATATGGACCAAACTTGGCACGAATATTCCATATGCCCAAACATGAACACAGATGGAGTTTCGGGAAAATAGACCTTGGCATTTGGGAGTTGTAGTGGCTGGGATTTATAGTTCACCTACAATCAAAGAGCATTCTGAACCCCACCAACGATGGAATTGAACCAACTTGGCACACAGTTCTCCCATGACCAACAGAAAATACTGGAAGGGTTTGGTGGGCAGTGTCCTTTGGTTTTGGAGTTGTAGTTCACCTACATCCAGAGATCACTGTGGACTCAAACAATGATGGATCTGGACCAAACTCTACACAAATACTCAATGTGCCCAGATGTCAACACTAGTGGAGTTTGGGAAAATAGACACATTTGGGAGTTGTAGTTGCTGGGATTTATAGTTCATCCACAATCAAAGAGCATTCTGAACCCCACCAACGATAGAATTGGGCCAAACCTCCCACACAGAACCCCCATGTGGGCCACAGCAACGCATGGCAGGGGACAGCTAGAATGTAATATAATATAATATAATAATAAACAGGGGACGGCTAGAATATAATATAATATAATATAATATAATATAATATAATATAATATAATATAATATAATATAATATAATAATAAATGGGGACTCGGGGCGGCTTACATGAGGCCAAACCAGGCAACATATTGCAGCAAAATAAAACCAAAAACATAAGCAACAAGCAACAACATCATAATTACATAAAAACAAATGACTACATTAACAATATAACACAATCACAGTGACAGTGGGTGGGCCACATGTGCAGGATAAAATCTTAAAAATCTCAAATGAGATAAAAAGAGGAGCAAGTTATTTGTAAGACGGAGCTCATAAAAACACAGGGTTGTGGAACCAATATACATATAATATTTATAATATTATAATGTAATTCAGTATAATACTACTACTAATAATATGATATTATAATTATATATTTTATATTACATTTAATCTTACTAATAATATTACAATGTAATTGTATAGTACAATATAGTGATGTATAGCACTGATATTGTACTGTGCTAATGATATAATGTATGTAAATATATATATCTTGTAAGTTACTCTGAGTCCCCTTCGGGGTGAGAAGGGCGGCATTTAAATGTTGCAAATAAATAAATAAAAATAAATAATATTATTAATATCAATATCAGTATTTTTAATATTGCTACTAATAATAATGATGATATTAATATTCTTTATATTATTAATATTTACACCAGTATTAATTTTGTTACTAATAATAATATTTGTGATATTAATATTCTTACTATTCTTATTTTTGATATTAACACCAATATTATTAATATTGTTAGTAATGTTGATGATATTAGTATCCTTAACATTATTAAGATTTTAAATATTACTATTAATATTATTGATATTATTGTCAATATTACTACTAATATCAATATTTTTAATATTGCTGCTACTAATAATAATATTGATGATATTAATATTATTTATAGTATTAATATTTGCACCAATATTATTAATGTTGTTAATAATAATGCTGGTGATATTAATATTCTTAATATTCTTAATATTATAGTAATACTATATAGTATTATTAATACTATAGTTATTGATATTATTAGTAATATTGTTATTACAAAAGTAGGTTTTATTGATTAGCCCATCCATATGAAAACACTTGACAAACATGCTTGACACATACAGCACACAACCCACATTACAACAAAAGTTAAAATAAACTAGTTAAAATAAATATTGTTACTGATATTGTTAATAATATTTATATGGTTAATATAGTTAATTAGATGGATACCCCCGCTGGCGCAGTGGGTTAAACCCCTGTGCTGGCAGGACTGAAGCCCGACAGGTCGCAGGTTCGAATCCGGGGAGAGGCGGATGAGCTCCCTCTGTCAGTATCAGCTCCCCAAACGGGGACATGAGAGAAGACTCCCACAAGGATGATAAAAACATCAAATCATCCGGGCGTCCCCTGGGCAATGTCCTTGCAGACGCCCAATTCTCTCACACCAGAAGCGACTTGCAGTTTCTCAAGTCGCTCCTGACACACAAAAAAAAGTTAATTAGTATTATTAATATTATTAATATCATCAATATTGTTGTTAGTATTGATATTGTTAATAATATTGTCATTCATATTATTAATATTGTTATTGCTAATAATAATATTGTTATTGATATTATTAAAAGTAAAGATAAAGGTTTCCTCTGACATTAAGTCTAGACGTGTCAGACTCTGGAGGTTGGTGCTCATCTCCATTTCTAAGCTGAAAAGCTGGAGTTGTCCATAGGCACCTCCAAGGTTATGTGGCCGGCATGACTGCATGGAGCGCCGTTACCTTCCTGCAGAAGTGGTACCTATTAATCTACTCACATTCTGCATGTTTTCAAACTGCTAGGTTGGCAGAAGCTGGGGCTAACAGCGGGAGCTCACCCCGCTCCCCAGATTTGAACCGTCAACCTTTCGGTCAGCAAGTTCAGCAGCTCAGTGATTTAACCCACTGCCCATTGATATTATTAATAATATTGATATTGAAAATAAAAACGGAAGGATCCTCTACCCAACACATCGCTTTGCAGGCCATTCGATGCGCAGAATGGATGGGCACTGGAGCAATGCCACGGCAACACGGGGATGATTGAGACCTCTTGGTCATCCTCCCACCCAATGGTCTGATTCATTACGTGAGATTAATCTCATTATCTGTATAATTTATATGCTACAGTGTAATAAGGGTCTCTGGACCATAATAAAATTTATCGTCATTATGTATGGCATATAATGTGAGAAACGAACATGGTTGTGCAATCGTACACTGGTCTACTCATGCTCGAAATAGATACGAATTGAGGCA